CGGGACCTGCTCTTCCCTGGCACTGAGCCTTGCCAGGGCCTGGATTTATCATCATTCCTAAAGGAGGCAGCCTTGAAATAAACCTGCAAGCCACGGGAGGAGGTTTTGCTCCCAAATTTGCTCAGCGTTTTGTGTCGGCGCAGCATCCGGCAGCATCCCTTTCTCAGCACATCCCAAAGTCAGCCCAAAGACTCCAGACAAAACCTCTGTTATCCAGGCCCTCGTGGGCTGAGCTTCATCGCAGGCTGCAGCCTTCAAACCTGTCTATAAATACAGCCAGGAACATCCCAAACTCCGGAGTCAGCCCCGCGGAGGAGCGGCTGCAGGGCAGGAGGAGGCTCAGCAGGAGCTCCTGCCCTGGATCTGGGATGGAGCAGCACCTGCCAGCCCAGCCCCACAGGGCAGCCAGACCCCACGGCTGCAGCAGGGCTGGGGGAGAGCAGCAAGAGTGGGGGAGAGCAGAAAAAGTGGGGGGGAAAGCAGAAAAAGTGCAAATTCCTGCTGGGAGCAGCCGAGGGTCAGCTGGGATCTGCTGCAGCCATGGGGAATGGGGAGTGCTGTGGTTCAAAATCTGCTTTGTTTTCCCCCAAAAGCGAGCTCCTGCAGCACGGGAAGTTCCCACAGGAAGGTGGGAATGGCCCTGGAGCAGCAGCACACTGAGCCTGAGCACGGCTCTGTGAGGACTTTAGGGAATCCTCATGGAATGGTTTGGGTTGGAAGGGACCTTAAAGCTCATCCATGGGCAGGGAGAGACCCCTACAAAAATAACACAGACCCCAAGGAGCTGGGATCATTAGGAAGAAGGCCAGATATGGGAAGTGTCCTGTTACCATCGCTCCAGGTAGCTGCTGTGTGCTCTGAACTGACTAAAAAAGAGTAAAAATCCACTTAGGAGGCCTGGCAGTGCCTATTGAAAAAAGGACACAGCTGGATGCAGCTCCACGGATCAATCTGCACAGGAAGAAGGGGAAACATGAAGGCTGGGAGATATTTCCCAATAAATATAATGCAGCAGCACTCAGGGCAGATGAGGACAGGATTACAGTGCAGGATTACAGGACCCCATCAAGAGCCCTCCTATATTTTGCCATCTAAAGATTAGATATTTTAAAGCCTCAATGCACAAAATGGGCCTCGCTGAGGAAGGCTGGAAGAGCAGCTATGGCAAAGGGATCATTCCCAAATTCCCCTCTTCGGGGGGAGCTCTGCAGGGTGTAACCCTGGGGTTAAATCTCCCCTTGGTGTTCAGCTGGCCTTGGCTGACACCTGGTGACACCCTCAGCCTGCTGGAGCCTCCAGCACCCACAGCACATCCCTGTCAGGAGCTCCCCAGCTCACTACAGAGGCTGCCAAAGGGTTTCCTGTGCCCAAACCTGTTGCACAAAATGTCCTTTGCTCCCCCCTGCCCCAGTTCCTGTGCTGGGGGAGACGGTGAGTGACTGGCTGCAGGCTGTTCCTGATTTAAACACATCTGTAATCCCTGCCCATCATCTTTTCCCTAAGCCAAAAGCCTGTTTAATCTCCCAGGGCAGGGACAATCCCACCCTCAGACCCCAGGAGGCTGAATCCACCTGGAATGGGATGGCCAAGGGCTTGGGGAGCTCCTCACAGCTCCCTCTGCTCTCAGCAAAGGGAGGAGGAAAAAGGATGAGGGGAAAGGGGGAAGGAGAAAGGGAAAGGAGTAAGGGAAGGGAACACCCTACAAAGGGCTGCCTGCTGGCCAGTCTCTGCACCAGAGTCTCACAATCCTAAACTGCCAGGTTTAATTAGTGCTTAACCAACAAAAGCAACAGAAAGAGGACAGCGATGGGCTTGGGATGGGCTGCAGGAGCTCAGGGGTGCCTGCAGGACACCCCAAGGAGGCCATGCCAAGGGAGGAGGGTTTGCCAGGGATTTCTGTGCTGTGGGAACAATTCTCTCCCTCCTGGAGCAGAAGCTCAGCTCGCAAAACAGAGAAACCAGGAAAGCAACCCCAGCCCAGCTGCAGCAGGGTTAACCCAGCAGTGCCCGGGGGCTCCCTGACCTCCATAAATACTTCCCAGCCCAACATTTGCCAGCAGCTCGCTTTGCAAGGGCTGCCTGGGTGCTCTCGCAGACACATCTCCTGTAGGATTTCCCCCCGGGCCCTGGAGCAGCCGCCCGGGCTCACAGACCCTGCTGGAACCGGGAGGGAGCAGAGCCTGGGCAGGGCTGGCAGCCAGAGCTCAGCCCAGCAAAGCGCACGGGGAGGAGCTGTGAGCAAACACCTCGCTGGGTAACAAACACCAAATTCGCTTTGTAAACGGTGTTTCATCTGAGAGGAATTCCGCTGTCACCAGAAACGAGCCCAGCTCAGGCAGTGCTGCACTTTGGGCTCCTCTGTGACAGCAGAGCTGAGCTGCACTGGCTGAAGCAACGAGAGGGAAAAGAGCTGATCAGCCTGTAAATGAGCCGGCTTACAAGTGTTTAGTAACTGTTTCTTGTTCACAATTCATTACTTCCCACACGTAATTGAATAAATCTTTAAAAAGGAGCTGCCACTGTGCTGGCTTCAGACTGGACCCACAGGGAGCTGTAGAAACACCCGGGAGGCAGAAGAAGAAAATGTCCAAGCTCACAGTCAGAGAGAAGAGTCCCTGCACTTCTGGGAGAGAAATACCCTGTGGAAGCAGCAGGTGGGAGGTGCTGGAGCATCCCTGCCCCGGCAGAGCCCTGTGCCCAGCGCCTCTCCCACAGCATCCAGCTCTGGCTGCGTGGGAAGGGCAGTGAGCCACAGCTGCTTCTGTCAGCTGTGAAAAATGCACACACTTAAAGGGGAGCAGGGGCTCGAATCCATCAGCTTCCACAGAAGTCAAGCACATGCTCCATTTCCCCGTGACTGATGGCTCTGCTGAATGAGGGAAACTCCACTCACTAAGCAAGAAACAGAGGAGCCTGAAGGAGCGTGCAGGGGCAGCCCCAGTGCCCCACACCAGTCCCACGGGCTCTCATTAATCACCTTTTTTTATGGCTTTTAAATGCCCTTTCACATCCAAGCCTACAGAAATTCTCTCCCCAAGCTCTCTGCAGGTTTCTCCCCCGGGCTGGGCACGTTTTGGTGCAGCAGAACACAGAGACAGAGAGCACAGGACGCTTCAGGCAGGGGAGCACAGCCCTCCCTGGGGACACCGTGAGCCCCCACCTCTGCTCCGCAGGGAGGAGCAAGGTTAAACCGTGTCTGCGTGCACTGACACCGTGCAAAGTGCAGAATTAGAGAGAAACTAGATAAACGGGGATTTTCCTGTCCTGAAAAGGACACCAGTCTTTTTAAACACAACGGCCACTGGGATTAGGATCACCAGCAGGAGCAAAGGAATTGCTCATTAAAGGGTGTCGAGTTTCCAGGCCAGAAGCCCCAGGGAACGAGGGGATCTCTCTGGGGACAGCAGTGCTCCTGCCAGCCCCGGGATCTCTCCTGCCACAGCTCCGAGCACAGGGGCCCTGGGATGCCCATCCACGGCCCTGGGACACCCATCCATGGCCCTGGGACACTCTCCCATTTCATCCCCCTGCCCTGTGGGTTCAGCTCCCTTCCTCTAATCCCAGCTTGCCCCAAGGGTGCCCAGCTGGCCCAGCAGCACCGTGGCACAAAGCCCTTTGCCATTTCTGCTGGTCCTGACTCCAAAACTGCTCTTTCACAGCCCCACTCTGTGAAACCCTGGGCACTGTTACCAAATTTCCCCATCCAGCAGCGAAAGCTGGGGCACAGCTGAGCTGGATCCATGAAAACACCAGGCACGGTGCCTTATTTCAGTTTTAAGCTCAGACTGGCCACGGGAAAAGATCAACCTCCAGGGAAAGCAAATGTTTCAAAGAAAATTTGCTTTTTTTAGAAGCAGAGAGAACTAGTAAACTTTCCATACAGGGCTTCATCCTTTTAAAGGGAACTTTGGAAGCAAGGCACAATGACAATTGCTGGACTGAGCACACCAGTGTCTCTTCACCCTCCATCCCCAGCCAGCAGCCCCTGTCCCCAGGCTGCTCCAGCTCCTGCAGGGATGACACCCTTTCCCTTGGACACCCTTCTAACCCAAAAGCCGTGTATTTCCCATCCTGAACCCAACCAGGGGTTTGGGCTCTCACTCCATTTGCTCCATGAGGACAGAGAGGGTCTCAGGGTTCAGGACCTGAGCTGGAGAATTCAGAGTGGTTTTCCCCATCCTGGCACTGCTCAAGGCAGGGCTGGACAGGGCTTGGAGCAGCCTGGGACAGTGGAAGGTGTCCCTGCCATGGCAGGGGTGGATGAGATGGGCTTTCACCCTTCCAACCCAAACCATTCCACGACTGTCATTAACGTGCTAAGAGAGAGATCAGATCCAGCATTTTAAGAGAACGGCTCACAGCACCCAGCTTTGCTCAAAGCCACCCTCATTCCCACAGTGCCAGAGGGACCAAAACAGCCCCTGAGGCAGCCGAGGGCCTGGGACAGTGGAAGGTGTCCCTGCCATGGCAGGTGTGGATGAGATGGGCTTTCACCCTTCCAACCCAAACCATCCCACGACTGTCATTAACGTGCTAAGAGAGAGATCAGATCCAGCATTTTAAGAGAACGGCTCACAGCACCCAGCTTTGCTCAAAGCCACCCTCATTCCCACAGTCCCAGAGGGACCAAAACAGCCCCTGAGGCAGCCGAGGCTCGGCTGTGCCATCCCCCGAGGTGTGCCATCCTCTGGGCTGTGCTATCCCCCGAGGTGTGCCATCCCCCCGAGGTGTGCCATCCCCCCGAGGTGTGCCATCCCCCGAGGTGTGCCATCCCCTGGGGCTGTGCCATCCCCCCGAGGTGTGGCATCCCCTGAGGTGTGCCATCCCCCCGGGCTGTTCCATCCCCCCGAGGTGTGCCATCCCCCCGGGCTGTGCCATCCCCTGAGGTGTGCCATCCCCCTGAGGTGTGCCATCCCCTGGGGCTGTGCCATCCCCCGGGCTGTGCCATCCCCCCGGGCTGTGCCAGGCGTGTCGCGGCTCTCCGTGCCCCAGCCCCGTACCTGTAGCTCATGGTGCCGCTCTGGCGGGCGCTGTCGCTGGTGCCCAGCCCGTGCAGCTGCAGGAACCTCTCCAGCTGTTTGCCCTGGCTGCGGGGGCTGCGGGGTCGGGGCCAGCCGGGGGCAGCGCTCCGAGCCCGGGGGGTCTCGCCTGCCCTCCGCCCGCCCGCCCGGGGCCGGGGCATATCGGCACACGCCGCCTTGTACAGGTGCATGCTGCCCACCGGGAGCGCCGGCACCACCGGGACCGCCGGGACCTCTGGCACCACCGGCACACCGGGACCACCGGGAGCGCCGGCACACCGGGAGCGCCGGCACCACCGGGAGCTCCGGCACACCGGGAGCGCCGGCACCACCGGGAGCACCGGGATCTCCGGCACCGCCGGCACACCGGGAGCGCCGGCCGGCCCCGCTCAGCCGCTGCCCGCAGCTGAACCCGCCGGGATCCCAGAGCTGGGCAGCGCTGCTGCCGCCCCGGACATTCCTCAGCCAGCCCCTTTGGTGATCTTGGCCGAAGCCCACCCTGGGCATCACCAGTGTCGTTCGTCTGCTGAGCCCTCTCCTGGCCCGGCTCTCCCAGGGGTGAGGAATGCTGGTGGGAATACAGCGCTGACCCCGTTTCCCAGGTCTTATATTTAGATAATGGGAAATATTTGCTTGGGATTCAACCCAAGGCCAATAAACATACAGCAAGTGCTCTCCCAGGGGGTATTTCAGGCCCTGGCTGAGCAGATGAACTCTGCAGGCATCTCCTCTGCAGCTCAGGGGAACATCTTGTTCTGTCCCAGTGCACTGAGAGCTCTCCCGGCTGGGGTTACCTGCTCTGGGAACATCTCCAGCATCTGCAGCCTCCCGCGGTGTGACAATTCTTATGAACTAAACTATGATGTTAACGATGATTTCACCACTGCTGAACTGCAGACACAAAAGGTTCTGGTTCACAGAGCCACAGAATGGTTTGGGTTGGAAAGGACCTTAAAAACCATCTCACTCCAAACTCCCCTGCCACGGCAGGGACACCTCCCACTGTCCCAGGCCGCTCCAAGGCCGGCCCTGACCCTAGCCTTGAACAATCCAGGGATGGTTTTATGGTCTCCATCCCAGAAGGGCCACAGTGACCTTTTCTGGTCACAGCAGACAATCCTGCCAAGGCCTGGTTCATGCCACTGAGGCAGATGTCTGAGACTCTTCTATTTTAAAAACTCACCCCATTTCAGCCCCAAATACATTAGAAAAATAAGTTAAATAATCAAGTGATGGATGTATCATGAACTCAACTAATCCTTAAATCTTTCAAAGCAGATAAAGAAAGACTGATCCCAACCCCAGAATACATTTGAAAAGCTCATAATTCAATGTCACAGAGGGGAGTTTGGCAGGAACAGTGGGATTACCCGGTTATTCTTCTTGTGTGACTGTCATACCAGGGCGTGGGTGGCCCTGGGTGTCCCCAGGTCCTGCCCAAGGGTGGGGGTCCTGTTCTCACAGTGCTGATCCCATGGGGGGTGCAGGGGGGATCTCAAGCCAGCTCTTTGCAGCCCAAGGACACTCAAGGGAGGGCAGGGTGTCCCAGGGCTGTCCCTGCTGTGTCCCAGGGCTGTCCTGCCCTGTCCCCAAGGCTGTCCCTGCCCTGTTCCCCGTGTTTCCTCCCCACAGTGTAACCCCAGGGCTGTACCTGTGATCTCTGCTGCAGCTGCCTTTGGTTTTACCACCTGCCAGCCCCAGCTCATCTATAATGCAAGGTGAACCAGGGCTGAGAAATATCTCTGCAAGCTCCTCTGAGTTTTCTGGACACAAGGGTTGTGCTGGTTTGGAGGATCAGGGCTTGTATGGACCAGCATCTTTAGAAACTTCTCTCTCCCAGGAGTTATTCCCCAGCCCTTGGTTTTTACGGTGCTGTGGGAGCCCCTGGGTGCCAGCCACAGGCCAGAGGGGCTGGGGGGCACCGGGCCCAGAATCTGCCCCCTCCCAGCCCCAGACCCCTCGTGCTCCCCTCAGGTGCTCATGAACACTCCTGCATCAACACCCACTTGCTCCTTCTCTCAGTTTTACTTCCTTTTCCTTTCACTTATCCCCTTCCTAATTTTTATCGTTGTGGCATTCTAACTCATTTCTTACCCAAGCACATCTGTGAGAGCTCTGTTTGTGCTGGGCACCGCAGGCACCCCCATCCTGCCGGGGACTGGGGAAGGTCTCGGCCGATTCTCAGCAGGAACCCTGGCTGCCACCGAAGGGAAGGGAAGGAATCCCCCAGATGAGGGGAAGAAGAGCCCCCAGGGGAGGAGGAGGAGGAATCCCCGGGGAGGAGGAGGAAGCCTCCCCTCCCCGCGGTCCCGGAGCTGCCCCGGGCGCTCCCGGCTCGCTCCCGGGGCTGCGGCAGCAGCAGCAGCAGCCGGGCCGTTCCTGCTGCGGTTCCGATTTCAGTGAGGGTCTGACCCCGCACAGGAGATTAGAGACTCGCACGTCTAATTTCCACTAATACCAAGATCCCCTTATATTTTTTTAAAGGAGCAGATCAGATTCGGAAGGCTGCGACATTTAAGACCGATGGGATGAGAGATGCAGCCACTGCAGGTTCCTCCTCCCGGGGGCTCCTTCCCAGGCTGAGCCCCCGGGCAGGGAGGGGGCACAGGGACCCACACGGTCCCTTCTCGACAGCAGCAACTTTCTGCTCTATTCAAAACACAAACGAAACCACAGTCACTTGGGCAAATTAGAAACAAGGCTCAACAACCACACGCAGCTTGTGCTGGAGAAGTTCTGGCTATCAACAGACAAGTTTGCAGGATATTCATCTCTGTAAAGCACGCATTACCAGAAAAATCAGACTCAACAAAGCCAAGACCTTTCTACTAATCAGACAAAGCCAAAGACCTTTCTACTATCATTACCATCGCTGCGATTAGTATCGTTGCTATTGCTATTATTATTATTATGGCCACGATGACGCCGGCCAGCAGCACAGAGGGCGGCGGGCAGGGACGTACCTGTGGGGCATGCCGGTGGTGTAGGCGATGGTGAACTCGTGGGACAGCTCGCACACCCGCAGGTACCAGTTCATCTCCAGCTCCCGCAGCAGCGCCAGGCGCCGCGCCCGCTGCTGGGGCTGCCCGGCCCGGGCCCGGCCCTCCTTGCTGCCCTCGGCCGAGCTCTTCAGGGCTCTGTCCCGGCTGCCCAGGGACAGCACCGACTGCTTCCTCAGCTTCAGGGACTCGTCGGCGCTCTTGCCGCCCACGGTCCCGGTGCGTGCCGCCAGCATTCCGCCGCGAGAGCGCTCAGCCTCGAATCATCCGAAGTGACTGCAGCGCTCCTTCTCCCTCTGGAGCCGCACGCCGGCCTCAAAGCTGTAATTAGAGACGTGGCTGCGGGGCTTAACCGGGAAGAAGAGCTGCAACCTTCTCATGGAACCATCTGTAGCGGCCGCGGCGTGCCGGCGGCTCCGCAGCGGGGCCGGGGGACGGTCCCCAAAAACATCACACCGGGCACAGCCCCGCGCCCCTGCTGGCCTCGGACCGGCGAGGGCTGGACGCTTCTGGAAAGCCCGTGCGCTGCCCAGAGCCGTAAACATCGGAGGTGAAGTCACACGTGTCACCTTGAGGGCGAGCCCTGCCCACGTGGCTGGCCCGGGCAGCTTGCAGCGCGCTCCGTGCCGGCCCCGAGCATCCCCATCTCTGCCCTCCTCCTCCTCCTCCCCCTCCTGCTGCTGCAGCTCCTCGGGTCGCCCCATCCAGCAGCAACTTCCATTCCCAAGGGATCTGTAGGAATTTGGGGATTTGGTCCCCCCTAGGATGAGAACAAAGTTCCGAGCGCTGCCGAGCAAGCGGCGTTTGTTGAACGCATGAAAGGGCGGGCACGGGAATCGCATTAATTCCCATCTCCGGTCGGAAATGTAAAAGCTGGCACAGAGATTACAGCTCTAATCACAGCAGCCACTTCGGGAGCACGGGCACAGCCGTGTGCGAGAGACAAACCCCTGTGAGGCGGCGGGATTTGGAAGGCACAGCCCCCGAGGTGCTGTAACCACCCCAAAGCAGGGCCGGCACCCCCGCAGGGTTCCAGGGATGGATGGAAGGTTCCTGCGATGGGGCAAAGGGAGCTCGGGGGGTCCCTGGTGCGGTGCCCACCCCCAGCAGGTCTGGCACCAGCTCGGGATGGTTTCACCTCCCCGAGCCGTGCAGATCCCGAGCTTGGAGGCTCCCCAGCCTCTTCCCAACATCCATCCCAGGGCTCCAGGCTGTGCCGGGGCCCTGCCTGACCCCCAGCCCCCCCCAGGAGGGTTTGGAGCCTCACCTCGCTCTGTCCCTGCCCTCCGGCACTCCCAGCTGTGCCGGGTCCCCTCCCAGCCCGGTGGGACCTGCTGGGCTCCCACCACCCCCAGCCCCGGGGACCCCCTGGGCCAGCCCCAGTGCTGGAGAGGGGTGCTGGGAGCCCGGCAGAGGCACACACAGTGGCTCAGCATGCTGCCAGAGGTGTTACAGGACAAAACCCCCCTTTTTGGCTGCTTTTGCAGAAAGCAGTTCCATCACCTTTTGGAGTAAGTCCTACAAAATGTACCTCCAACAAGAACTGGTGCTATCCAACCTATTCAGCAGATGTGGAAACATTCACTGGAAGCTCTGCAAAACTCTGGAAAAACGACTCAAACTTTGAGCTGTAAGACATTCTGGTTCTACGCCCGACCCAACGTGTTTACTCTTAAAATGCTTCACAGAAAGGAGAAGGTTTCCAGCAGAAGCCTTTACACCAACGCTGAGCAGCGAAGCAACGCTTCCATTGCACTACACGAGCTGAAGCCTCAGGAGATCCTTCAGGTGCTCCCATGTGGCAGTTGGTCACCCAAAGCCACAGCTGGTCACCCAAAGCCACAGTTGGTCACCCAAAGCCACAGCTGGTCACCCAAAGCCACAGTTGGTCACCCAAAGCCACAGCTGGTCACCCAAAGCCACAGTTGGTCACCCAAAGCCACAGCTGGTCGCCCACCAAAGCCACAGCTGGTCACCCAAAGCCACAGCTGGTCGCCCAAAGCCACAGCTGGTCGCCCAAAGCCCACAAAGCTCCCAAAGGGCTGCACAAAGGCACACCGTGCTTCCCCAGCCTGCTGTGTCCGTAACTCTGCTAAGCACAGCAGCAGCCGCTGCTGCCAGGGCCGTCGCTCGGCGCCCAGGCGAGGAGCCCAGCGCGGCTGCCGCCGTTACCGCTCTCGGGGTGGCACCGCCGCGGTGCCGGGGCCGCCGTGCTCGCGGAGCGGCGCTCGGTGTCGGGCGCACCGCAGCGCTCGCACAGCCCGGCGGTAAGCGGAGCCCCGCTCGCCTTATAAAAGTTGCAGGACGATTGATTTCCTGAAAGCAAAGCTGCCCCGGAGTGTCACGCTGGAAGCCTCGGTTCCACAAACCCCCCAAAGCCCTCCCATGGCACAGCACCAGGCTGTGATGCTCCCGGGAAAAACACCTCACCCTGATCCCTGCTAGGGTGGGGGCTCCTCCTGCCTTCTCTGTTCCTCCTATATTCTTTCTATATTCCTTTTATAGTCCATTTGTATTCCTTCTATATTCCTTTTACATCCCTTCTGTATTCCTTTTATGTCCCATCTAGACTCCTTTTATATTCCTTCTACATTCCTTTTACATTCCTTCCATATTCCTTCTATATCCCTTTTATATCCCTTCTATATTCCTTTTATGTCCCTTCTATATTCCTTTTATGTCCCTTCTTCTAAGCAATAATCTCTTAATGTATAATATAATTATGCATTTGTAACTTGCCTGTACACTGTAGAAATGTCCAGAATCGTGTTTAGGAGCTCTCCAGCTGTAGTTCATTATGAATTATAAGTGATTGTTATATTACTTATATGATATTATAGAAATTCTATTTATTAATAAATTATGCCAGGGTTTGAAAATTTGTCTGTCTCTTCTTAAAACGCTTTCTAAAATCAGATTTTCATTCCAGCTGCAGTCCCCAGAGGTGGACACAGGAAATGGGAACCATCTCCTGCTGAGGGGTGTCCCAGGGCTCCCCTCTCCCTGTGCCCTGCATCCACAGGGAATCCAACACAATCCCAGCTCCTGGAGCCAAGGGAGGCCTCGCGGGGTGCAGAGGGACAGAACAGCCCTAAAAGAGCTTTAACCCCCCAGTGCTGCTTGTGGCTTCAAAGCAGGACACTTCAGGGACAGCCAGCCTGCAGCCCCAGGATCAGAGCTCGGCTTTAATCCATTTTCCTCTGGCTCAGGCACCCTTTTAGCCAAACCTCCTGTTTTCAGATGTAAACAGGAGAAGCTTCTAAACCCCCTGCAGCAGCTGTTTTCTGCTCGGGGGAGCAGGAGGATGAGTAAATGCACTGCACACGGGGCCCCTCTAAAGCTGCTTTGAAAATCTCCTGAGCACTTTTCCAGCTGGATTTGCCATTCCAGTGGCACCTCTGCGGTGGCCAGTGTGTGACCCCACAATGTCACACACAGGACATCCTGACTTTCTGCACCACAAACTTGTTTTGATAGAATGAAGGAATGGTTTGGGTTGAAGGGACCCTCATTCCAGAGTAAAGGAATGCAGGACACACAGCTGAGCCTGCAATTCTCCAGTAATCCCAGCAAAACACAGTGACAGCTCACCCTCCCTTAAATGATCTCAAAATCCCCCCGTGCCCTGCAGATCCACAGCAGCTCCCAGGATCTGCTCCCACACGTTCCCAGCTCTGCACACCCAGAGCTGGCAGCCAGGCAGAGCAGCAGCCCAGCACCTGCAGGGTCCTGCTCAGGGATTCCAGCAGAACACCTCGAGCCTTGCCCAGGTACAGACTGATTTGGGATGTGATCCCTGAGCAAACAAAGTCTGGTCCCACGGGAGCAGAGCCATTCCCACCCCCTGGTCCAATTAACCACGGAGCTTAGCTCTTCCCAGCCCTCCTCTGCTCCAGGTAACTGAAACCCCCCCGGAAAGGTTCATTAAGGGGTTTAATTGGGGTGAAGCAGCTCACCCTGCTGTGGCAGCACTCAGATGCCGTGGGTATGACTCTGCCCGGGCAGCAGCCGTGTGCCAGGGCAGCCCCAGAGGGGCTCAGGGGATGCACCCGCGGGGCAGCAGCACTCAGCCTCCCCAGACCCCCCTGGGAAAGGCTGTGAGCTCACAGAGAAGGATGAGAAACAATTCTTATCTAACTGACTGCACCTGCTGCTGTGAGCATGTGGAATTGTCATGGAGATTTGTTTACCAAAGAGTAATTCTTCATTAGCCAATGGCAATAGTGTTATCATTGAAGGAGCAATTAGGTATCATAACTGCAAAAGCAATGAGCTTCTTAATAATGATATATATAATGAAGAGATTGATCAACCTTCTGTAAATCACAGAACCAGTGCAAATTATCACTCATTTGGGGATCGCCTACTGGGACAATTGGGAATTGATGTGTTGCTCTCTGTGGCCAGAGCTACTGCCACACACCTGTACCCCAAAGGCCAGAGCAGCCCCCTGAGAGCTGCCACACACCTGTACCCCAAAGGCCAGAGCAGACCCCCAAGAGCTGAAATCACAGAGTCAGTGCAAATTATCACTCATTTGGGGATCGCCTACTGGGACAATTGGGAATTGATGTGTTGCTCTCTGTGGCCAGAGCTACTGCCACACACCTGTACCCCAAAGGCCAGAGCAGCCCCCTGAGAGCTGCCACACACCTGTACCCCAAAGGCCAGAGCAGCCCCCCAAGAGCTGCCACACACCTGTACCCCAAAGGCCAGAGCAGCCCCCAAGAGCTGCCACACACCTGTACCCCAAAGGCCAGAGCAGCCCCCAGAGCTGCCAGCTGCCTCCCTGAAGGGCAGCAGGGCACAGCAGCCTCACCGAGCCCATCTGCTGAAATTAGAAGTGGCTCTCTCCAGCCTTTTATCTTCTCCAATAATTTCTAGATGTGATTGCGGGGCCAAAGGGCAGTCCCAGCACACCCAAGCGAGGAGGAAGATTCCTGCCTGTGTTAATTAGCTCGTTTTCTCCTCTTTGCTGAGTTCAGGGAGGTCACTCATGAGCAGCTCTTCGGGGCTTGCTCTCAGTTGCACCAGCAGTGACCAAGCAACCCGTGATGAGAAAGGGGAAACTTTTCCAAGGCCAAGGAGAACCCAGGCACCCAGACCTCTCTGGAGGCACGAGGCTGAGGGAGCTGGAGGAGGCCTTTGAGCCTGATGCTCCTGACCAGCTCAGCCAGCACGAGAAGGTGCAGAAGCACCCACATGCTCTTTACCTTTCTACATGAATTCCACACCCAGGGCTGAGCTGCTGGAGCAGGTGCCAAGCAGTGAATCCCTGCAGGACAGTGAGGGCTCCAGGATGGATTCAGAACAATCCTGGTCGGCAGCGAGGGCTCCAGGATGGATTCAGAACAATCCTGGCCGTGCTCTGAGCAGTGGATTGATTCCCTGCAGGGCAGCGAGGGCTCCAGGATGGATTCAGAACAATCCTGGCCGTGCTCTGAGCAGTGGATTCCCTGCAGGGCAGTGAGGGCTCCAGGATGGATTCAGAACAATCCTGGTC